AAGAGCAGTTGCTATCATACAGGAGAACACTGATTCCAGTTTTCCAGTGGCTCACAGTTTTAAGCTCTGACTCAATTTGTTTTGCCCTTTGTCCTCCACTTCTCTCCAGTTTATCTYTCAGCACTTATTCATGATTTATTATTCATTTATCTTCACATTTGTACTGATGCGCTCACAAGTATTACCCACCAGATTCCTGGGAAACCCTGTCAGGAAGAGCAGATGCCAAGCTTGGGKTTTTGCTAAGACGACAGACTAAGTGASMTGAAGTTCAAGAAGGAAGAGCTAACGGGCTTCTCTCAGCTCTGCTAACTCTCAAGATTTTTTCACACACCTTTCAGTATTTTGCCATCTTGTCRAGGGCTCCTCTCTCCAATGAAATTAATCACACAAAAGCGAAAGCAAGGGCTGCTTGAATAGCAGAGTGAGATTTAGCCAAGCACAGAAGAAGAGATGAAAGCACTGCCTGCTGCCTGAACAGACAWCTGCCAGTAAACATGCAAAGACRAATTAAGCAGCRTGTCAGAAGGTACCACTSGATGGCAGTGAGCCAGGCTGCTTCCAGAAACCAAGCAGCCATCAAACCAAATCCTCTGATGTACCGAGAATTTGTTTGCTTTAATGCAAGGAAGGCAAAAATCTGCATGTTATTTCTGAAGATCTGAAGAGACTTAAGCCCTTTCTCAGGTATACAAAAGGGTCTTTTTGACATTCAGCGCCATTGTAATTGATGAGCAAACAAAAGTAAATAAAAAATGAAGGAAACAAAGAACCAGTGCCTGCCYTAAGGAGCATATGCATTGGACAGATAGGACAATGCACAGTCTCTGTCAATCTGGGAGCTCCATGTCCTTTCCTCAGCATGAGACAAAGCCCAAGAAAATATCACATGAATGAATAATWTAGGAGACCAGTAAGGATTTTAAAAGCAGATATTTGTTTGCAGCAATACTTTCTAACAGTATTTGGAAAGTTCTGCACTGGCTGTTTAGCCGTCAGTAACAGGGATGCAATGATACCAACGTCCTTGGGTTTTTGGGGGGACCTGCTTGAATAAAGGTGCATCACTTCAGTTGTGTAACTGAATGAGACTGGCTAGTACACAGATGTTATATTGGAGAGGATTCATCATCCTGCTTATGTTTCCACGGCCACCAGAACAATTCCAGAAGTGCTAACCTTACCACTCTCTCACTTACAGTATTCCCACAGGAACAGTGGATCTAGATCAGGCATTGTGTTCTGGGAAAATCTGCCCTTGTGCCAGAACACAGATGAGCTGAGCTGAGGGGCTCACCCACCTGTAGGTGCCCTGAGGAGGCTGCACCTCTGGGTATCTYCTCTCATACAAGACAGAATGTTGCATGATSTGATGCTCACACCATAGAAGACTGACAYSATTAGGTTKCTGTAACTTCACTTTAGTCTTGGCATCTGAATCCAACTCACTTTTTCTACTTACCCAGAATCAGGAACGGTGCATTTGCTACAGTGACCACAAAGGGCACTCCACAGAASAGCATCAATCCAAAGCTGCTTAATACAGCTAGGCCAGAAGAAAGCACTCCACAGCTTGCAAGCCAGATATTGTTTCKTATACAGCTCAGTCTGAAAACATTGCAAGAAATATCTTAATTATCTTTCAAATATTTCACAGACACCAAGAATACYCTGTCTCAAGAGAATAACTGATAAAAGATGCTAGGAGAGATGCCAGGTGTCAGCACTGGACAMCATTAATTTCTCTAGAAGGTGAGCATTCAAACTGGTCATGTCTGCACTGAACACTTGTTCAGGTATCTGATATTTATTTTGAACCCCATTGAAGCAGGTGGAACATATGCATAGATAGACAAGAAAAYGTAATGAAATACATTTTGCCTATTATTAAATGTTACAGGAAGTCTGCAGCTTCAAGAAYGCCTTCAAGAGAAGAAACCARCTGAGGCRGGTAAAGAAGAGCAGAGATCAYTGYTCATTGAGCCATAGCTTAGAGACATTTTACCTTAGGCAAGAGAYGACTGCAAACGTTATTGTCAAGAAATACGTTAYGGAGAAGAGTGGGATCACASTCTTGGTATTTCCTTCAAACTCCTGTTGTCTGGACAGCGAGGTAAAGTACGTCACCTGCCGTTAAAACAACAAGGAAAGAAACGATGAAGCACTTTTGTTCTTAGTCTTCGTACACATGCACAGGCAAGGACAAACAACACGGCGGCAGAGGAGCATTGCCCTCGCAATCCGCCCGCCTTCTCCCGCCACCCTCTACTTTCCCTTCCTGCCGACCCTCGGCACCAGCTCTGCGTTACCTGAATGGAGACGAGGCGCAGCTCCGCCACTTTGGAAGTGATGTTTTGCAGGAAGCTCTCCAGCCACTGCCGGCTGTCCTGCGCCCCGGGGCCGTCCTCCCGCAGGTAATACATCAGCTTCAGAGCCCGCGCCCTCCGCACCCGGCCGCCGTCCGTCTCCACGCCGCCCAGCGCGGTCCCCAGGAAGACGCTGTCGTTGACGGGGAAGCGGAGTCTCCCCGGCTCGGGCGGTGTCGCATGCCGCGACAGCAGCGGGTTGGGGCTGGCGCAGCGGCCGGCGGTGCGGGCGCAGAGCCGCTCGTACTCGGCGTCGTGCACGGTCGCGTTCAGCTGCAGCACCTCCGCCCACGCCGCCGGCTCCAGGACCGAGGTCCCGTTGGTCGCCACAGCGATGAGGGCGGCGTAGGCGCCCTCGGTGGGCAGCCGCGGGGCGGAGAAGCGCTCCGAGTCGTTGTGCGGGAAGTGTCGCCGCACGAAGTCGCGTTCGGCCTTGGCGGGCCCCCACGTCGGGGTGAACTGCCTCTCGATGTCGTTCGCCTGCCGCTGCGGCAGGAAAATAAAGCCGGCGCCCAGGACCCCCGACAGCAGCACCGGCACCAGTAGGAAGGGCCAGGGGCAGGCGGCCAAGCCGCTCGCCAGCCTTTCGAAGAGCCGGCGCAGCGGCCGCTCCAGGCAGTCGGTGTTGCGGCAGGAGCAGCGCTCCGCGGGGTCCCGCGGCTCCTCCATGGGCGAGGCGGGCACGGGCTGCCGGCGGCTGCTCCTCGCCGCGGGCGCGTCCCACGCCGGGGCCCGACGGTGCGGTCTGTGACGGCGCCGGGGGAGAGGAGAGGGAGAGGAAGAGGGAGAAGGAGAGAGGAGTTCAGAGCCACTCTTTTCCCTCAGGGCCGCGGAAGAAACGCGGATTTTTCTCCGGGGGGGGGGGGGGGGGGGGGGGGCGCGGCCAGGGCCCTCCTTCGCCGTGACTCACGGGCACCCCGGGATGGGCAGGAGCTCCGACCAGGCTCCCCTTGCCCGTCCCACCGCACCCTCCTCGGTCTCGGGTAGCCGTGTGCTCCCGTTTCCTGGCCGCTCTTTTACCGTATCCCAGAAAAAGAAAGTGACTTTCTTCGTTTATAGCGAGCTGAACTAACTCACTGGCGAGTCGGGTGAGTGCTGGGCCTGTAACAAGGGGAAGACTCAGGTAGAGCAGGAGGAAAGAGCCTCTGGCATCAAGACTGTGCCATGCACAATTGTCCCATGAAAGCTCATATGCAGTGGCGCACAGTGGGGATTTTAAGTGAATTTGGGGGCACCGCTTGGGATCTAGTGCCTTGAATTCCCTGTAAACAGGATTTAATGTAATCCTTGGGTTTATAAACAGGTAACAAGCCTAGGGAAAGGACTTCCACAATGTCTAATGGATTCAGTAAGACTGGTGTTACAATATTAAATACAGAACTAGCTTCCATGCTGCAAGAAGGAGGCTGCACAATTAAAAGGTGGGAGATGAGGTGTGATCCCCAGCAGATGACRAATGCATATTGAGGAGTTAAGGGGATCACATGGCAGTGTGCCTGTGCTGTGCAATGCATAGCCCTCCCGTCAGTCCGTGCCTGCAGGATAGCCTTAGCCAGCCCATGGCACCAGAGGCGCCTGCAAAGTATCTCCCACCTGGTATTAGCAATCAGAAAAACTAGACTTCTGTTTCTTGTTTTCTCGAAATCTGCTGCAGCTGTTACTTCACCACTAAAGATTATTCTTCTGTCTGAGAGCAAAACACAGACAGCGATGCTGTATATCTTGCAGTGTTTGCTCATTCAGTAAACAGGTTTACAAAACAAGAAAATGACAGTGGAGGAAATAAAAGACTTTGAAACAAGGGTTAGCGATTGTAATTGGTAGATCACAAGAATATCACCGGTGTGATRTGCCAAACCTTTGTGCAGTAGCAATGATGAAAAGGATCTTTCCAAGTCCAAAAACTATCCTGCAGCATGATGTTCTTAACACTGGAAAGTGACAGTGATTTGAGTGGCTTCTGGCTGAAAAGAAMATTAAGCTCAGATGTGACAGTGCTAGAGAGGTGTCCAGACAATGTCACAGCCAGGCACTCCTTCTCCTTGCCTTTGAAAGAAGCAGCTCCCTCCCTCCTGCCAATACTTGCAAAGAGAAGTTTTAGGTATTTCTTCTCTCCCATCTAGAGGAGACAGGCTTGGCATCTGTGAGCATAAAACAGCCAGCCAGACTCTGAGCAGGGTTATGTATCTTCTGCTGTGCTCAGCACCGAAGATAGATCAGATCCTGGTGATTCCCTTTTCCGTGCACAGGTGTTCTGAGACAGGTATGTCCGCTCTGACTTTGTCTAGGAGGCAGGTGCTGAGAAGCTATTTCCTGCAGCTCCTAACTTGTTGAAATCTAAGTTTTAATTAGCGTGACCTCAGTGATAGCTTCTCCCRTATTCAGTTCTCAGTTTCCTTGAATGGATTGACACTATGTTAGAGTAAGAGCTGTTTACATTGGAGGTCTCTGTCAAACGGARAAAGGGGCAAGCTACTTGGTAATAATCTGGTTATTAAAACGATTAGAAATGCCTCAGCCCAAATTAAGGTGTTAACGAGACCATATGCCAGTGACAATAGTATGGATTTTATTTGGTGGTAAAGAAGGAGAGACAAAAGAAGAGAACAAATAAAAAATAGGTGGGGGGGGGGGGGGGAGGGGGGGGGGGGGAAAAAAAAAAAAAAAAAAAAAAAAAAGGGGGGGGGGGGGGGGGGGGGGGGACAGGAAGGGAGTGACAGAATAAAGAAAATATCACCATCTGTGATCTCAACGATGTTCCATTGATCTTCCCTAGTTGGTCTTCTTGGTGGTGATGCTCCCCCTGAAAAACATAGAATCACATGGGTTAATATCACCCAGGCTTGGTAGGAAAACCCACCCACGCCTCTGGGGGGTGGGGGGATTTGGCATTGTCTCTTACAGCAGTTCCTGGGTCTGYTGCATCACCTGCAGTCCTGTGGTTCGAAGCCTCAGGAATGACTCTGGGGGGCACTCTGGGGGGCCTTTGATGCATTACGTCGCCCCCAACAGTTCCTCTTCACGTGAATGTCCCATGGATGTGACTTTTCCGGGGTTGGGGGTTCCAYAGCCACTTTGTGTGAGGGAGGATTAGCTCACTGCCCCTGAGCAGAGGTTACAACACACTGAAACTTCCTCCCCCCACCTCAGTTAGGGGGCAAATCTATACAAACCTGCTTCCAGCAAATGGGTCTATGGACTATGGCCTCTCCTGCCTCGAAGCAAGCCAGAGATGATTCCTAGCACAGCTGCTGGATTTGGCTCACATTCTTTTCCTTGTTAATTTGTTTACTTCACACTGGGCCTGCCATGACTGAGGAATGGGTTTCCCTTTATGTAATGTCAGCAGTTTGACTTTCAGTCCAAAGTTATTTAGGGAGGGATGGGTTTTGATGGCTCCTTTATGCYGTTTTGCTATAATGAGCAAAACTTWATATCAATGTTTGAGRCATGGACTATTTCAGTTTCTGACACATCTGGACGCTTAGGTTTTAGTGTCAAAGAGTTACCGAGCTGGAAAAGATTGCCTCTCTTACACRGAGACAACTAGGGAGACCAATAGACATTGCTGGGAATCAATTAGAGAGACACACCTATCCATAGCCAGACACTAAGACAATTTCTAGGAAAACCTGGCATTGGACAACGTGGTGGAGGATTCACTGACATTGCAGCAGACATGAAGAGATGGTGTCCAGCTAAATGCATTCACTTTAAAAAACGGCCATGTAGAGTTACTGACTATATTAAGCTCAACAAGGCAGAAAATAAAATTTAACCATTTGCCCTAGCCAGTTTCTTTCTGGTTTCTCAGGAGCTTGAGACAAACTCTGGTCGTGGTCAAGAGGCAGGAACTGTCCTAATGACAGGAGCTATCCAGTYATGGTACCCAGTACACTGGGCTCAGTTGGTGTTCTTTGGTTAGCTCTAAGACTTGGTGATTTCACCTATGGCATGGGAAGATGACTCCACCAACTCTTATTTCAGAACTAACTTGARAAAGGAAGTATATTCCAGTATTCTCCCAGAAGCTGGATTCTTGTCCTTGTTCCCTGCTATGTGGCCTGCTATGTGGTTCGTATTAATTCCTAATAGGATAAAATCAGAAATGGTTTTTGAGACAGAACCAGGAGCTGGTCTATAAGACTTTCAGCCAGCTAGCTTTCTGGTATTTCAGCCAGCTTTCTGGTATTTTTCGGATGAAGGCACAAGCTCTCTTGATTGTTTTGTTGCATTTGTTGAAAGTTTCAAAGTCAAATCCCACTGAATTGCTGTTTAGACATATTACCCCCTAGGTAAATACTCACACAATAACATTTCCTTGTGTTTCCCAATGCTAAAGAAATGGTGAAAAGGAAAGCTGATATGTATATTTGACTTGCCTAGAAGACAGCTGAGAGGGATATCTGGTGCCTCACATTTAAGCAGATTGTACTTGCATCTTTACAAGGTCTGTGGGGGACTCATCAATACAGTCTTAATTTCTAATATCCCCAGTGGCCTYATCTGTAGGTGGTGTCAGAATGTATCTAACACAGGTATACACTGTTCTCTTCAAGACCACATAAACCAGTGAGGGTAGTGAACACCAACAAAAGGAGAAACGAGGCCAGAGTGGGTGGAGAAGAAGGGGAGAGGTCCTCACTGGAGCAGAAGGAGGGAATAAAGAAGAATATTCCTGGGCAGGGGCTGGAGCCAAGGGAGCAGGAGCTTACACATGCAGCCCCGAGGAGCTGTGTCCTGGTACGCATTGGCCCCAGTCTCCTGCACAGGCCACTACCTCAGYAAAGGGGCTGACCATTGCCTGGGGTGAGGAGCTAAAAAGGTGGAGGAAGGAAGAAGTATCTAAAGGGAAACAAGGTTTTTCCTCAGGGTTGTTTGTTTTTTTCAGTCTCCCTTGATACCAGAATCTGTATGTAATAGATTGTTAATTGGTAAATAAATTAAAATAATGGAAATTCCCTGAAGGAGTAGTTTCTGCCTRTGACAGTATCTTGCTGGAAGTCTTTTCGATACAATTTGTGACAGGTGGCCCTTGTCTTTTCCCARGACAAGGACACTTGTATTATCAAATTGTCAGGTGCCTTATTTCTGCCTCGTTTTTGAAATTCAGAGTTCTGAAATTCAGAACAGAGGGACATTTCCTAATGCATGCAGACTGCCATTGGAAAGTGCTTTGGTAATTGTGTGAGATACACTGGATACTGGAATAAAAAAAATCGCAGCCATCAGGAAGACTTTTGTCCCATTTCTTCCACCATAATACAGCATGAGGCATGGCTGTGCCATTTATGAAAAGGAAATTTCACTAAGTTTATCTTTACAGTGCCAATCATAGCACCTGACAGAGATGTTGTATCCTATCCTATCCTATCCTATCCTATCCTATCCTATCCT